CGTTCAGCTGGGCAGAGCGGCCCCGCGCACCCGGGGTGTGGAGGATGGCTCCCTTATCCTTGGGCTTCTGCTGTCGGGTCTTCTCACATCCGATGAGATGCGGTAGGAAGAAGTAGCTTGACAGAGAAATAAAACTCTTCGAAGGCACAGGGAAATGCCCATCTGAGAAGCAGCTGGAACAATTTCGATTATGGAGAACCGTGAAAGTGAAAGATGAAGGGGTCAATAAAGCTTCATTGACAGGAGACTTGTCTGTCTCGGCGCGTTTAGAGAAGAAATAAGACAACCATTGTTCTCACCAAATACAATTAAAGGAAGCTAAATCCTCTGAAAGAGAAAGCTAAATGGGTTTCAGGATGTGTGTGTAGGTTAGCTGGTAGCGTGGGGTAACTTCATTCTAGGACAGAGTCTTAAATTAGAAACTGATTTTTAAAAATTATTCAGAGGTCTTAAAAGTCTTATGTTTCAGGAAGTGAGTAACCATTAATAGTTGATAAATGAGATTATTGTTCCTCAGTAGCTATGACTGCTTGATGTGTGAGGTTCTAATGCAATTTCCTTTCCAAAATGTAACAGGAGAGATTGTGAAGGTGTAAAATTGCCAGGACTTGCCAGCTTTCCTCTAACATGTGGGTTCTATCAGAGATTCTTGGTGATTTGTTAGATATCTCGAACCCCAAAATGTCATGCCATAAGGCACTTTTGTTTTCATTTACTCAGTATTAACTATGGATAGTTATAGTATCTCAGTGAGCAATTATTACAAAATTCTTATCACTTGGATGTAGCCCCCTTTCCCCTTAAAGCAAATACTAGGTCCAGAGCAACTTTTTACCAGCCTGTGAGAGTCCTAATTTCTGAATTGCAAAAATATCTTCTTTGAACATGTATTATGGCCTGCAGGGATCCAAGGATTGTTTGGATCAAAGGAACAGGGTTGCTATGGTTGCTTGAGTGATGTGAGCTGTGACATTGTGTAGCTCTTTTTTCTCTTTGCAAGTGTTACTGGTCTTTCGTATTATAGATACAAGTGCTGTTAAGGAAAACAGTCACTTAATCTATAAAAATTGTTTGTGGTTCACCTAGATTTTTGTCAGTTACAGGCCAAAGTAATTTTAATTTTTTCAGTGTGGCTGAGAAAGTGTTTTTTCAGCTTGTTCCTACCTATTCTAGCTGGAGATTGAATTCATAGTAACAATTTGTCTCTCTTTCTGAAAGGTTACACCGGACTGGCAGAAGCAATTGAAAACTGGAACTTCAGCAAACTGGAAAAACTGGAGTTGCACAGACAACTGTTGAAGCGGATAGAAGCAACAGTGCTAGAAGTTGATCCGATAGCACTCATGCCCTACATAAACTCATGCCTGATGGAAAGGGAATGTGATGAGATCCTGCAGGTACGGTTAATGGTAAAATCCTGGTATTTGCCTAGTTTTGCTGCAGAGTAGTGCTGGCTGCCTCACTTGCGGGATGAATTGGTCCCCGTCCATCAGGCTGCTCAGTGAGGAGGATGGCCAGCCACGGTCCTCTGGGGAGGGACTTTACTTTCTTCTGCTTAGAGGAGGCTTTGCTGTGTGGCTGCAGCTTCCCACAGCAGTGCTGTCTGCGACACCTGCACCTCTCATTCTTCCCCCCTCCGGCTCGGATGGGGTGGCTTTGGCATTGACAGTGCTCAGCTGTATGTCTTTGTGGAGTCCAGGCTCCCGTGAAGAGACCTCAGGGGCTCTGGAAGGTGCCACATTACAGTGAAATGAGTGCCTTGCTACGCCTTTGAAATAGACCCCTTTCTGGAGGGTTCACGCTGTGTTAATGCTCCTAAAAATACAGATGGAAGTAGGCAAAGTAGCATTTAGATGTTGCCTAAATTGATTCCTGCTTGACATCGGATTTACGTAGTCTATTACCTTAACTGTAGCAACCCCTAGAAACTTTGTGTGGCTCTTTGAGTTTTGTCAGCACCCAAAGGGATGGTCATAGGGTGAAATGAAACTTCTGGTCTGAAGTCATTAGCTAAATGCTGTGTCATGGAAGTCGACAACATTTTCATTGTCTTTGGATGTGAAGCCACTGTTACCCAGTTCTAGCTCAGTGTCATTATCGATGACTGTTAACAACTGATATTACCAATCACTCATCATTTACGTCGGGTTAATAATAAGTTATTGATGCTGTGTGAAGGAGTCTGTTAGGTGTTCTCACTCCTTATGACACCTGAGAAAGATTGTTTGCAGCTATTTTATTTTTAAAGCAGTATTTCTGTATGGAGATACGTAACATTTGGAAAGCTATTGCATCTGACCAAACGTCAGGCCTGCCATAAGTTTTGTACTTTTGCATTTTCCTATTCTGGAATGTTTGTCAATCCGTTTGGCCTCAGGTTTATGGCAGATATGGCTTATTACAAGGACCTCACCAGATGAAAATTCACAGAATAGCTCTGCGATGTTTCAAACCTTGTGAATATTTAAACAAATAGCCTACCTGTTGATGTAGTCCAGCTAAGTTTAGTGTACGCCTAGGCTGACAGAATTGAAGCAGTAGTGGGTAAATGACTGAATTTTATTGGAAACCTTTTATTCTGTGAGAAGGAAATGCAATTTTCAACTGAAAATCAAACAAAATAAATCAAAATACCAATCAAAGAACAGTGGTTTTGATCACTCAAAAGCTACAGCAACTTCTGTTTGTTGTATGTGCAGATTAGTGAATACAGAAGCAAAGCAGCTGGGATAACTAAACTCATTGAATGTCTCTGTCAATCGGATAAGGAAAACTGGCCAAAAAGCCTTAAGCTGGCACTAGATAATGCAGAATATTACAATGCAAGTGAACTGTGGGATATGAGAGACGGTAAACTGTGAAATGTTTTTATGATGCTCTTTTCCTATTCTTGTACCAGACAGTAATTTTTTTTTCAGGAGAATAAGGCTAATTTAAAAGGATACCACTAGACTGCATTGCTCATTGTTGTTTAAAAATAACCCCCCCTTTTTTTTTAATTAAAATGTCTTTTATATAAAATGAAATATAGGCACTAACCTACAAACTGTCAGAAATTATTTTTTGAGTATTTTTCCTCCCATATGATTATGAATAATGTCTTCTTTTGGTAAACAATTGGACAGTATACAAAGCTCTCACGGTACAAAACTAATAAAATGTTTATCTTCTTCCGTCCCATCCACTGTAATTCACCTTTTGCCATGTTTTTAATTGCTTGAGTTGTGATAGATGCAATGTTTTCTGATAAAATATGATTAGTAATTTGTTATTCTAGAAAGTGATACATCTCTGTGATCCACAGAGCGGATCATATACTTTTTTCTTTGAGAAATCGATAAGCAGCATTTATGAAGTGACTATGTTCATTTTTTGTAAAAACGCAGAATAATTTCCCTAGTAAGATTTTGCTTTTGTCATTGAATTTAACTTTTTCCACTGGAAAAATACCTATATGAGTACCCTGCAGCATGGGAGAATTTAGAGCAGAATACAGTATTTCACTACAAAATAATTAAGAAAGACAAGTGATTTTAGATAAACTGGATTGTATTTCTTTACATCTACATTTGCTTTCTCTGAAACCCTACGTGATTGTTTGAATTTTTTTAATTAGCAACTGGGACAAGCTACTTTTAAGTGGCTTCTTAAACAATATTTCTTATTTTGAAATTTTTTTTTTGCTTTAGTCAAATGTGTGTAATTTCTTATCTGGAGATTTAATTATTGTATGTATAAAAGTTATATATGTAGTTAATCAATTTATAAATAATTACATATATAAAATATATAAGAATAATGCTTTTATGTAGCTGATGGCTATACATATTATTTGGTTAACAGTTATAAGTTAAAGATATCGCTGTCTTTTGGGGCAGCTTCTTCTAACATCCAACTTAAAGCCAAAGTCAGCCTACTGAAGAAATGTAGTCCATGTTGGAAGCATTTTAATGCTAGCACTTAAGAAGAGTTGCTAGTAGAAGTTAATCACAGATACTGTGTGCTTTCAGGGACTGGATTAGGGTGTTAAAATGTGCTCTTTCTCCCGTTCCAAAAGCAGTGCTTTGAGATCATGTGTTCTGTTTGCAATGAGACTCTTCATGCAAAGCCCAGTGACAGTTCTTTGAGAAGGTAATAATTATGGGACCAAAGAAAATTTTAGCAAGCATCTTTGGAACCTCTCTTGATTATCATGTATGATAAACGATGGAGATAGTCTTACAATTTCCAGGTCCTTCCAAAAGGTGGGGGGAAAGGAGGAAAAAAGTCTTGAATTTACAAAGCTTCTTTGAACTCCCAAGTATTTTTCATGCTTATGGTTAATGTCCATGTTAAATCTGTAATCTTGTCACTAAACACAGAGGATATAACTTTCCTCCCAATCTATTATCTCCCTTGATTTTTAAGGGATAGATAAATGTGTGTTGAGTATGTGGGTCTTCTAAACCCAAGACTCTCATTGCTTGAAAGTGAGCCAGCCTTGGATGCAGCATCATTTTATGTAGTCTTTCCATGCTAGCAACCAACTCCTTCATTTTGTCATCCCAGCAAATACAACATTTTAAAATCAAAAGGATCAATAACATGCCTTTTTTTGTGATCGTACAGATAATGGCAAAGATGTTGATGGTGAAATGACAGATGCCTCTGAGAACAGCTTTGAAACCATGATGACGTTTTCTGAAGAAGCAGAATGTGATAATAATCTCAGTGAAAATCTCGGTTCAGCTTCAGGTAAGACTTAGCAATTTAAAACAGTTTATGGCTGGAATTCTCTATTTCCTTAGACTCCTGAAGGATGCAGGTGAGGTGTGCCACAAAGGAAGGTGCTGAGGAACTAGTACAAATCTCTGACTTGATTTAGCTGTCTTCTGTTTTAGTGTTTAAAGGATCTCATGTTGGGCATAGCACATGTTAGGGATTGCCCCTCATTTACATTTCTAGTGCAAAGTTGTTTTGTCAGCTGATTATCAAAAAGGTCTCCAAACACCAGACTGTTCTTGATGCATCTTTTCTCTGACACAACTAATTCACATGTGACCTGATACTAGCCAGTTTAGAGAGCTGAATGTGGCTGCAAAGGATCTGTGCAGTGGCTGTCATGTTTCACAGGGCAAATTTTGCTCCACCAGTGGTTTCTTGTTCCCTTTCCATAAGTGCAAACCCTCTGATGAGACTGCAATTTAAGAGTATTAACTTCAAAAGTCTGTAGAGCAGAAGGCTAAAAGGAATACTGTGAGTATATTTGGGGGAAAATAAGCCCTTGTGTTTTCTTTCTGAGTGGAAAAAGACCAGTTGAGGTGAGAGTTGTCAGCTAATACCTTGAAATGAGTTCATTTTAGGAAGCACAGTCAAGCAGTAAAAAAAGTATGCCATCAAACCTACACCTACTCAAAACTCGTCTGGTGTGTATGTCCTGTTAAAAGGCTTGTCTGTCAGAGAATGCTCTGTAGAATGCGAGGACTCTACCTCTGTCATTTTAGATAGCAACTGTATGGGGCATAATACATTTTATGCATTTCTGTTGCAACGCTCTTCACAAAAACATGGTTGTCTCCTAGAAGTGATTTATCAGTCTTCACCTGTTTATGAACCAAAGAAGGCTCGGAGCTACCAGACCGAACTTGCGCAGTCTGCTATCAGTGGGAAAAACACATTGATATGTACACCCACAGGTAAGAAAACACATGTTTCTTAGAAAAATTCTCTTGGCGGAGAGGGCTGTGAAGGATAGGGAAGGGTAAAGGTTGAGTCAAACCTTTCCAGCTGTTTATTTAAAAACAGTCTTCCTTGCAGGAGTAGATCCAGATCTAACCTGAAATTAATGACCAAGGGCAGCACAGAGACTGAGCAAGACAGATGTGTCTCTTGGCACTTCAGTGCTTATATTCGGATTTCCATGTTCTGACCTCTGCTTTCTCACTCCCCGGTGCGGATTTTTGAGTTAAAATCACTCACTGATCTCTGCAGATCTTTAAGAAATTTGGCTTGCAAGTTGAAGGAGAAATAGGATGAGTTGCCCTGAGACTCCCTTGTCTTCTGTACTGCAATGCCTACAACATCAAAACAGCACAGGGAACTTTAGCAGTACCTCAGGACTGAATTAAGAAGATTGAAGTTCAAAGCAAAAGAGAGATCAATCAGCTCTTTCTCTCCTGTGTTTTTCTTGTTGCTAGCCTGATTGTCCCCCAGGCCCTGGAGAGGCAGGTGGGGTAGCAGAAGCAGGGACACAGAAGAGCTGTGGGTGGCCTGCACAGCGAGCCTGAGTGCTGAAGGAAAAGAAATGTGAGAGGAGCAAGGCTGCATGGGGAAGGATGGAAGCTGAAAGTGCTTGATGCTTGTACCATAGTCTGATTTGATGTGGGAGCGCACTCTAAGAGCAGAATTAGACTCAGTGATTTCAAAGAACTCAAATAAAACTGCAAATGGATTTTCCTTCCCAGTGACTGCCACACGGTCTTTACAGACTGAGACTGCAAGAGAGAAAGGGATGATTACCAACCTGAGTAAGCAGCAAGCATGTGTTGAAATCTGTCCCCAGAGAGTCTGGAAGTGTTACAGCCCCCTTGTCAGCTCCCTGTTGTTACAGGGCATCCAGATGAGACAGGCTCCTGCTTACAAAGATGCCCTTTCATGGTAGTGCTTTACCTTTCATGTTCTTTGTTTAAAGGATCTGGAAAAACCTTTGGCACTCCTGGTTTGTGAACACCATTTCCAAAACATGCCTGCAGGACGAAACGTGAAAGTTGTCTGTCTTGCAGCTAAAGTGCCAGTGTATGAACAACAGAAAACTGTATTCAAGCAGCATTTTGAAAGAAGTGGGTAAGTGTAATTCTACCTGGTGGCTTCCTCCACAGAAAATAAACTGCCCTCTAGGTCAGCTGTAGCTAGGGCAAAATGTAATGGGTTTGCTGGTGACAAGAGCATTTGGTGTTAACATAAGGGTGAGGCCTAGTGGTAAGAATGGCAAGTTACCATGGTAGACTTTGTTGGGAGAGTCTGAAGTCTGCTTTTGGAGAGTTTAAGCAATGGTTGTGCAACATCTGTGGAAGTGGCCAAAGTATACCTATGCTTGCCTCTGGAAAAGGGTGAAGTGTGTTCTCTCTTGAGACTCCTTTCAGCCCTGCTTCCAAAGATGAGGAAGTTCCAGGTAGCAGTAGCATTCCTCTTACCATTCTCAAATGGCAGTCTCTTTCTTTTCCAAATGGAAGGACCCAAATTTCTTTGGTTTTTCAACTTCTAGTCTTCTTAGATGGGACTGAAAATTGCTTAGGGGCGTATTGACAACCTATAGCTTCTGATTTTGATCAGTATTACTCGACATCCACATATGAATCCTTACAGTTATGGGAAAATGAGGCTGCTGGACAGAAAACAGTCCTGTGCTGCCAGAGGTACACAGAAAAGGGACGAAGGGCAGGATCTCCAAATACAGCTTATGTGTGAACTGACAGATGCAGCTTAAATGTACAAAATCACCACCCCTCAAATCGAATATATTTTAGTTAATGGGAGTTGAAAATCCAGCTGTTTACCCTTAGCAGTTTTTTTCTCAGCTTCTGTGGGTCAAACTGCCAGCCCCAACAATTTGACATTTTGAATTTAGTCGCTACCTTTCAGGCTTGCTGAAAAGTCCATCCTTCTAGCTTTTTTTGCCCTGCAAGACATCCTTTTTCATACTCTATCTTTTGCCTCTTCTTCCTAGATACTCTGTTCAAGGAATTAGTGGTGAAACAGTTGCAAATGTCTCTGTAGAAAAGGTTATTCAGGACAGCGACATCATTGTGCTGACGCCCCAGACTCTTGTGAATAGCATCGAGGAAGGGATCCTTAGCTCCCTCTCCATCTTCACTCTGATGATATTTGATGAGTGCCACACTACAGGCAAGCACCCTTACAATGTGTTAATGACCAGATACCTGGAACAAAAATTTGACTCCTCTGCCTCAGGTAAGGCCCAGCCTGTCAGTGGTGGAAACATCAGAGAAAAGTATTTTGCAGAAGCAAAACCTAAAGTCTTGCCTTTTGTGTTAATCCAGTTCAAACTCCCATTTAATGGCTGCAAATTGAAACACTTGCATCTGTAACACTTTCTTCCCTCTTCTCGGACACCTCCAGACTGTTCTCCCATGTTACATCTTCCCTCCAGCTGCCAAGAAGGACTGATCAACCATGACAGAGACCGGAGTACTCGAGAGCAAACAAGATTGCTGGGCTGGGAAGAAAGCATGTGCCCAGAATTTAGTAATCTCCTTGTCACCTCTCTGTTGCTGTCTTCTGCAACAATAAAATGGGGCCACCACCTCCGCTGACGGGAGGTTTTGGTCCAGCTGAGAAGACATCTCATCTGAATGAATGTGGAGGACCCTTCTGGGAGTGGATTTGCTGTTTCTGTGTATGATGACCACTGGCAAATACAGCTGATTATGGATTTAAGTGGGTGGATAATTTATTTTCAGTTTGAATACTCTAAGCTTGAGTGCCTTGGAGAGGGCATGAATGGGGACAAGGTTTGACTCTCAAGATTTAGTCCTTGCACTCATGTTTACTTCAGCTGCCTGTTTTGTTTCCTTGTTTTTGAAGACAGTGACAACTTGGCAATTGGTAACAGTGTCTCCTGTTTTTTTTTGTTTGTGACAAAGGAGCAACCACTGCTCCTTTGTGTGTGTGCTCAGATTGTAGGTTTAACTGCTTCTGTTGCAGTTGGTAATGCCAAGAGCATCAAGGAAGCAATAGAGCACATCTGTACCCTCTGCTCCTACCTTGACATACAGGCCATATCCTCTGTCAGAGAGAACAAACAGGATCTGCAGAGATTTGGAAACAAGCCAGAAACATGTAAGCATGCTTCCTTTTTATTTTCCCATGAGATGCAAAGCACCGTAATTAAGGCAGCTATACAATTCTCCTTTGGTCAGGTGAAGTTAAAAGCTTAAAACTAAGCTGGAGTTTTGCTTCCTGCTGGCTTGAAGAATTTAAGCATGCACTTCACTGCCCCGCAGTAAGGCAAATTTTCTCTTTGCTGAGCTCCTCAATCTCTGGTTTTTATTTAGCAAGCCAGAAAAGCCAGTGCAGTTCTGCCAGTGAAGACTGAGGGCTTTTTCTTTCTGTGCAATTATAATGCTCATTAACAACAGACATTATTATGATTGCATAAAACATCATATGTAGCATTCTTCTTGACAAGAATTTGTTCTGCACTGCCCAGGGAAATGTTTCACTTATTCAGTCCACTGACTTCCTTTTCTTGTGTCTTAGATGTCAGATGGGTTAAAATGCGAGTTCAGAATCACTTTGCAGACATTATCTCAGGTCTGATGTCTGAGACAGAGGCATTGATGAGGAAGATTTACTCAGTGGGTAAGATACTGTAATATGCCTGTAACTGGGATTCAGTCTTTGATTAGATCAGTGTGAATCCTCATGGCTTCTAAAACAGTCACTCTTTTTCTACTTCCTTTTTCCTCCTTCCTTTTTACTTGCCTTTAACCAATATTTCCTAACTAAGAGATGACAGGTAGAAGAGTCAACTATTTTCCTGTTATACGTGATGGGTTTGATAATCATAAATATTTTTGCTTGGATTTCAACCTGTGTTTCCTGCAGCTAAGGATGGTGTGCTTTTGACACTGCCAAATAATTTTGAATGTTTAAAAAATCTGAAACGATACAGAAGGGCTTGCTTTCAAAATGCAATGAGCCAGATTTCATCAATGAGAGATACCTGTATGTTCTCATTTAAGTATTTCTCCAAATGCTTCATACGTAAATCTGTCTCTGTTAAGGAAAACAACAAGATTCTCAGTTATGGTGTTACTCTGAACGTTGTAATTTCTTCCTTTCAGTGAAAGTTTACTTTCATTCTTGCTGCTCTGATACTTCTTCTCATATTTTCTCTGGCCTTTCTGAGTTGCACTCAGAGTTATGTCTAGGCATGCCCTGGCCACCTTTTCTAGTCAGCATTTTATCCTCTTTACACCTCTGGGTACCCCTATTTCCACTGTTTATCAGGTCTCCATTATTTCCTGTTGAAAAGCATTTAAGATCATTTTACAGAGGAGGATCTGTGGAACATGAACACCACCAGAGAGAGGATATAGCTGCCTAAGAAAGGAAACACTTGTCTGTAGGGCTCCAGCCTCAGGAGCCACAATGGTGTGAAGGTTTGCAGAGAGGGAGATGCATGGCTGTGAGAAGAGGTAACAGGTCTCAGGAGACCTAATTCTGCAGCCCTGCAGAAATCAATTGATCTCTTCTGCTTTTGCAGGGTTCCTACATGGTGTCCAATAAGTGGCTATTATCAACAAATTTGAGATCTACAAGGGGGTACAGAGCAGAGACCCATGGATGGCTATGCTCAGGATCAGCCATGGTCTGTCCAGCTCTGAATTAAAAGATTTTGTCTGTGCTTAGACTGGCTTTTGCAAACGGACTAGGGTGCCTTAAGCCTGTTTACCTCAGTTTATACTTTCTAGATCCTTTTTTTCCCCTCCACTTTCCAGATATTGGAGAGTGAACTATATTCTAGGGCAGGAAGGAAGAATTAAAAAAAAACCACACCAAAACAAAAAAAACCCTCCCAACCAAAAAAAAATACCAACCCAAAACCCAAGAAACCCCAACAAAGAACAAATACAGTGGGAATTTCCAACTGCATGCTAAATTAAGCAAACACTTCTGAAGCTTATTTCTGCATCACAGTTCCTCTTGCATGAATGTAATTGGCTTCCCTTCTGTGGACCTTCTGATTACTGAAGTTTGTGAAGCACTCGGACAGTATGTATGTGACAAACAGCTACTGACTAGTTCTGCCTCGAGAACAGGCCCTTGGATAATATGCCTGTAAGTACCATGAACAGTTTAGCAAATGAAGACTTAACTATTGAGTGGCTGGTAATTCAAGGAGCGATGCACATGCAATGTCTTGAATACTGTAGCTGTTTTATAGGATAAGTGAGCTCTAGTTTTATTGCTAAAGACTCTGCAGATGTGTGTATGTACACAGATCCTCAGTTGAATTGTACTGGGTTAATTTTAGCCTAACATCTGGGTATACATTGAAACACCGGGAGTGAAGAAGACAGAGCCAGACTCTTCTCAGATGGTTCCCGAGGCAGGACAAAAGACAGTGGCAGGACAAAACAGAAATACTTAAACAAGAGGAAGAACTTCTTTGCTGTAAGGGTGGTCAAACACTAGAACAGGTTGCCCAGAAAAGTTGTGGAGTCTCCGTCCTTGGAAAATCCATTTGGACATGATCCTGAGGGACCGGCTCTAGGTGACCTTGCTTTGAGCAGAGGGTTGGACTAAAGACCTCCACAGGTGCCTTCCAGCCTCAGTGATTCTGTGATTGTTTCAAACAGTGTTCTTCTGCATAGGCTTTTTAGACCTAACATTCATGGAAAATGTGTTATCTTCTAGCTAACTGTTCTGGTTATTTGTTAGTCAAGATGAACAAATGTTTGTTTCCTCCTTCTTTACTAGATACTATCTCTCAAATCAACAAGAATGATTTTGGAACACAGAAATATGAACACTGGATAGTTGCCACTCAGAAGAAATGCAGACTGTTGCAACTGCCAGATAAGGAGAAGGAGAGCAGCATTTGGAAAGACCTTTTCATTTGCACTGAACACCTGCGGGTAAGTGTGTATTCTCTTTCCTTCCACACAGACATGGAGCCATCCTGTTCCTTCTGATACAGGTATGTTCACCTAGAAGCAGGTTTTGAACCTAATCATCTTCTTTGACACAGGCTAAAGCATAGTGTGTAAGAGTTGTGTCTTAAGATACTCACTGAGAACAGTATAGTGCAGAGGAGACTTTGTAATGCTTGTGTTATCGTGCAAATGGAAGAACAACACAAGTTTGTAATACTTCATCTAGCTAAACAAAATTTGCGTTCATCCCGTCCTATGGAAAATGAGACTTAAATGTGTATGTCTCTCTTTCTGAGCAGAAATTCAACGATGCTCTCATCATCAGTGAAGATGCCTGCATCGAAGATGCTTTAGCCTACCTAACTGAATTTTTCACAAATGTCAAAAATGGACCATATACAGAGTTAGAGAAGCAACTGACAGCCAGATTTCAAGGTATTTCACACAGCACCTGTGACAATTGCAGGGGAGAAGAGGCCTTATGGTAGGATGTGTTTTCTTCAGTGTAAGTGGGTTGTTTTTCCAGAAACTTTGCACTTTTCAGAGTATCTAGCATCCGTGTGGGTGCAGATGTAGCGTTAGGGTAGGCAGGGGGGAACTTACTTTCTGGAATCTCAAGCTTCTAGTGCAGGAACTAAAGAAGTAGTAGTAATTGTAGCTAGATGTTGTAGTAGGTTCTTACATGCCTGACTTGGAGGTAAGGCAGCGGTGTCCGTAAGGGTGTGCCCCACAAGTAGGGGGATGGTGTACAATCATGGATGCTGGCAGCATTAGACAAAGCAACATACACTGCTCAGTGCACTGCCTAGCCTCCTCCTGCCCAATGCTCCTAGATGAATCCCAAACTTCTGGGAAGAAGCAGGTGGCCCTTGTAGCCTTCTGATTAAAAGTTAGAGGTTGCACTGTTCTCTAACTTCTAATTTAGTAGCAGTGTGCTGTAAACCAGCCTCTGCGCCTGGTGTGTTGTACTGTTGACTGCAATTTTAAATCACTGGGCTGTCTGCCCTCCAGGGTCAGTTGTTTCCTAACACGAAATAGCACTGCCCTTTGCAAGAACTGAGTTTGTTTTGTTGCTGTCTTTTGATGCACAGTATGTCACAGAGGTTCTCCTGTCAGTTTGCTACAAAATGTGAGAGATTCAGAATTTTTTCTTCTGGGGATTTTGTTGCATTTAACCAATAGCTTTCTTTGCTTGCAGCTGAAAGAATGGTATAGAAAATAAAAATAGATGCTAAAGAGAATTTGGGTGGCATCTGAAAGTAGGTTTGGGTGAGAATTCTGTTTTCTGCATTAAAGAAGGTAAATTATTCAAGACACTGCTGTTTTCTTCCGGAGAAAGAACCAGAACTGACTGCCCTTTCAAAAGATGAATCAAATGACAATCCCAAGCTGGAAGAGCTTGCTTGCATCCTGGATGAAGCATACCGCTATTACCCACAGACTCGCACTCTTCTCTTTGCTAAGACGAGAGCCTTAGTAGCTGTAAGACATTTCTGTTTAAAGCTCCTAAAATGGGAAATGAGAAAACATAATGCCTCATCTATTACCCTTCCCATTTTGATCTGGAAATAGAAAAATACGCATGTATTTGACCTTCCTAAGAAAATACTTATCTTTCTGTATCTTCCTAAGTACTGATGCTCTGAGACAGGACGAGGTTTTTTTTTTTTTTTTCCTAAAAACAATACGGGGTGGTGTCCTTCATCACTTCTTCTTGCTACATGTCATAGTTGATCATTAAGCCGTCAGATTCTTACTTTAGGTCTGAAGTCAATTTTAACAAGATGTGTTACAAGGTTTTTGGCTTTAATGTGGCAGTGTTATAAACCAGCAGCTCTGCTCTATTACTGACTGCACATCAGGAGGTATTTATAGGTTTCCCGGAGAATTTGTATGGGCCCAAAGGAGGTCTGTGCCCTAGCATGTGTTCTTGATCAAGAAAAAGGAAAGACTTCATGGAACAGATGATCTCTGGACCCTTCTGATGCACTGGTCTATTTCATACTTGCCTAGGATCAAAGATCTAGGCTGGATGATCATCTTTCTTCCTTCCAATACCTTGTTCCCAGAAAAAGTTCATGCTTGAAGTGTGCTGCCAATCATTAGCTTCAGCTCTTAAACATTTACTGCAAGGTATCATAGTCTCTGGCTACTGTAAACAGATTTATCAGCTGAGAGTCCTAACCCCCATTTTATCCTTGGGTTTAGATATGCTGGACGAATTGCAAACCAGAAAAAAATTAAGGGCAGGCTAAAGTCTAAACTAACAACACAAACATCTGCTGGCAATTTTCCATTATAGATGTAAAAGCGTGTTGTAGCTTGGCTGAATTTTTTTCTTAGGCAAGAGCAGTTTGAAGATGCTACTTTCACTGTGTAGTGAGAAAGTGCAGTTTGTAAATAGCAACTCATTTCCTTTGGATCCAGAGGTGTAGTATTCAGTGATCTGTTGGTTTACAAGAGAAAAAGGCATACTTTTTAGCAGTGAAAGGCTGCTTGCTCTCTAGCCAGCCTTTAAGTTGCAGGGGTGGGAAAAGTGGAAATCTGTTGTGGCATGGTTGGATCTGGCATCATGGCTGTGACCTTTGCTTTCTCACCTATTAATAGATGTTCCCTCCTGACGCACAAGTTCCGCCTTCTTTTCTGCTTTTGGTTCTTGGAAGTATTGTCTTGGCACGCATGGGCAGGATCTACCTATCTATCCCAAACTAGCATTTCATCTGGACAGGGATCTAATTCCCTGATTTGCTTTCCAGGCTTTGAAGAAGTGGATAGAAGCAAACCCTCTACTTAACCACATACATCCAGGGGTGTTGACGGGTAGTAGAAGAACAGATCAGGTACGCAGGTTTGCACTGAGGAATAACAGTTGCTAGACCTATGGTGGCTATACTGCTAAAATTGTTCTACTCTTCCTGTGTTTATCTTCAGTGCTCTTAAGCAGAGGAAGGTCATGCAAGTTTGCGCTATGCTTTCTTCCATATCTAGAAGACCTTTAACCAATCCTAAGGAGATGCTTGCTTTTTCTGTCCAGAATCTTTGGTTAAAAGAGCAGTAACACTGTCAGTGACCCTTTGCTGCAGGATTCTTTTGCTAGTTCAGAAGAATTTTAGAAACTGTTCGCTATCATGCCTTCTGTATTGTCCCTGTTCCTTTTACATATCCTTCTCTTATTTTGTGTTTGGTGGCACAAAGACATTTTAAGGTAGAATTGAAGCTACAGCCGAAATGAATTATGCATGGCTTAAGAGTTAGCTTGGGCTTAAAATAACTAAGCTGTATGGGTCTCTCTAACAAAGATCAGCTAGGTGGTGTGTCTGAAATGGTGTTTCCCAGGATCACACTTCTTGTGGCACATCAATGGGAATTCCTGCTCAGTGGGTATAGAATGCAGCCAGCTGGATTTGCAAACTAAATATCATAAACTTTTCCAAATCAAAAGGACATGCTCATTTCTAATCACTTAAGTAAGAGCAAATGCAGGTGTCTTGCTCTTCAGTGTTTTTTCCTGACACAGTTTCTTGGTACTGTAGGTATGACCCTCCCAATGCAGAAGGGTGTACTGAATGCATTCAAAACCAACAAAGAAAGCAGACTGCTAATTGCTACATCTGTTGCTGACGAAGGCATTGGTATTTCTGAGTGCAACCTTGTTGAGCTCTATGAATACTTCGGTAATGTCACCAAAATGATCCAAGTCAGAGGTACAGAATTTCAGAGCTATTATTTTAGAAACCTGTTTTGGCCTAGAAATGGACATAAAGTGCTACTGAATGGCACTTTGGAAATACTATAGTAATATATGCATGTCTTGCTGTCATGTAATCTTATTCTAGCCTTGCATTCTTAACCTGACAAATGTACCATGTTCTTTCTTCGGTATGAGTTGCTAGAACAAGGAATGTTTTGTTTGTCTGCTTTTAAGTAATAGGTTCCTAGATGTTACATATCCTGAGTCATATTTAGACAGACTTTGGGGCTTCTCTTACTTTCATAATTATCTTGATTTTTGTTTATTTATTTATTATTTATTTTAAAGATACATGACCTGCAAATGAAGGAAAAGGTATTACGAGATTCCAGGAAGAAAGAAACAAGACCGAAGGTAGTGTAAGGGAAAAAAAACCTTCTGTGTGGAAAATGCAAAGCATATGCCTGCAGTACAGATGACATCAGAGTTATAAAGGTATGCCTCTGTATGGAAACCTACATCCATGAACATCAGGGAAGTCAGTGTTATTGAACTAACAGCATTGTATATCAGTGTGGAAAGTAGGCTATTTTGTGCAAACTGGAGCAGAAAAAAATTCTGAGTAAATCAGTAAACCACGGGACCAGTCATAACTACTTCTGCAGCATATTATGATTGTAGTTGATGATGTCCAAGGTGTGCAAATGTGTGATATGACAGGAATCAGTTCAGTTTTCCTGAACCCCCTTCTGTTAGAAATTGATGAATTTTGTGGAAAACCATGTGACCTTCACTGACATAACCTCCTAGTGTAACTGCAGGATATTTACTTCCCCAATTAGCATAAGATTGGAAGTCTTCCTGCAGTTGAGAGATTTCTCCCACCATTTCTGTTGACTGAAGATTATCTGTACAAAGTACTGAGATCAACTTACTCTTTAGCTCCTTGGCTTACGGGCCAGTTTTCTGTTTTGAAAGGCAAGGCAAACCTGGTTTTACAAGAGGAGCCCTTTAATTCTTCAATATTACTTTGTTTTCCATTCTTTAGGTAGTTCATATTACTTCTATGTATCTCATGGGGACATTTTTATTGTACTCTTTCTGAACTTGAAATATTTATCTGTAGGCCCAAGAAGCCAATACTCTACACATGGAAAGTGGTGATCATGAAAGAGAGCCTTTTCTGGGCACTTTGAGTCTTTCTAGTTCTGAAATTTGTTCTTTCGAAGCTGCTTCTATTTGTGCTGCTCTGAAAGGTGCAGTTGTGATATGATAAGGGGTTTCGGGCCACAGCTGAGCATTACAGAGTGCTTGCCTTCAGGCACCCCCCTTTTAAATCAAGAAAATCTTTTTTTTGTTTTTATGAGCTGTTTTTGGAATGTAGATGGAGTTCACTACTCCTCTGCACAGGGAAGGTTCGCAGGTGAGGAGTTGGGAATAGCTCAGCCTTGTGAAAACCTAGTTACTTTCTTTGACAAATAGCAAGGGATATCTAACATGCACCTCTTACTGTTACTCCATTTTGTGCTGCTGGCTTATCATCCATACCTGTGCAAATAGATCTGAGAGTTCAGAAAACTCTTCAAAAAGAGTTTTTGCTTAGTACTCTGCAAATGACCCCTCACAATATTTTAAATAATCCCTACAAACTGAGTCCTGTCGTAGTTCAGCCTATATATTTAATGGAAGTTGCATTTCCAGGAGGAACTAGCATTTTCAGACTCCAGCTCAAATTGTACATATGCTTTCAAATTGTTAATTTTTTAAAATCTTTGATTATATATGTCATAAACAACAACTGTTAACTCCTTTACCTTGGTAGGGTTACTTTTTCTACCACTCCAAAGTAATTGCATCACCCCTCATGGAAAGCTGGGGTCATACAGTTAAAATGAGTGGGAAGCAGGCATCTCTCAAGTTGTCTGTTGTCTGGATAACTCTGTTAGTTTTATGCACAAGGCTTAAATACTGCAGGCATGGTTTTCAGAGAAGCTAAGTAAGTTCAAATATGTATAAGCCAGTGACTAGTGATATATAATAATTTTGGTTTTGATAAGCTCAGGCCTGGGCCTTTCTAGTACCTGGTATTTAATGAATGGGGAGAAAAAGAGCAATGAGCCAAGGTGGCTGGAAGGTGAGCCTCCTGAATGACAGGAGGCACCTCACCAGAGGAATGGTATTTGTGAGGGGAAGAGGAATGTCAGGAAAAAATGAGGAATGGTGTTTCTACTATTAAGTGCTTCTGGCATGTATTGTTTCAGGAATGTCATCACATTGTCCTAGGAGATGCATTCAAGGAGCGTTACATAACAAAGCCTCACCAGAAATCAGTCCAGTTTGATTGTTTTGAGAAAAAAAGCAAGATGCATTGCCAAAATACTAATTGCCAGCATGAAGTAATCATAGTGAAGAATCATAGTGAAGTACAAGACATTTGATAATCTACCAGTGATCAAAATCAAAAGCTTTGTGGTAGAGAACGTTGAAACTGGGACACAAATGGATTTTCAGAAATGGAAAAATATTAATTTTTCTTTGAGGAATTTTGATGTTGAAGAAACGTCCAGAAACTCAGCATTTTAGTGTATGTACCACCCTACTGCACTAAGCTGAAATAGTGGATGATCTGTTTCAATCAATAAAAAAATTCTTGTTCTTTATGCTGTCTGATACGCTAGGCCCCTCATCAGCATCTGGCTAGATTAAAAAAGGCTAGTATGGCCATTAAAAAAAATTTGCTGTCATCTAATGAAATGTTTCACTAGAAGTTTTAATATAAGCATGGACAAACATGTGCCTAAGCATCTAGATCTTAATCCTTGCTACTATGAAGAAGTTGGTCTGAAAAAAACAAAATCAACTTGCATGACTAACTAAACATCTAATTTTAGGTGACAGGCCACAACTTCAAGCATTTCTGTGTGAACCAGAATCTTCTTTGATACCGGTAACTTCTGTTTGGATTGTACCTCCATGCAGACAACATGGCTTATGCATACGGACACTTTAAACACTACTTTAGCTACTTTTAAAGCTTTTTAAAAATTACTTTTAATGCTCTAGGCATTTTAGTATATAGAAAATAAAGAGAAAATGTCCAGTAACTTTTCTGTAAGGAAGAAGCTGCATCTTTTAAATACATCTTTAATAGAGAATGCTTCTGCAACAGTCTGAGAAAAGCAGTAGGGCTTCACAGAGCCCTCCTCGAGGAGGCATCTTCTGGATTAAAATGGTAGCACTTTTTTCTTCTATCACTGCACATTCATCAAGTTGCTGTTGCTGAATTTGCAGAACGGACACCTTTCTATATGTGGGTTAACTGAACAAGCCCCAGGGGGGACAAGGCAGTGCCTTGTAAGATGGACGAAGGCTTAGTTTAAATGGTGATTAGCATTTACCCTGATGTCCTCTCATGAATTGGCACCTGAAATCTCTCAAGCCACTGATATTAATTCTGCAGATTTCGTGTCAGAGCTGATCTAGAATTGGAATAAAGGCTAGGCATTAGTGTTTAAATCCCCCTTCCCCACCCTCAGAAAAACAGAAATTACTACAGACACGATTATGAAACATTGTTAAACTTGTACATTTTAAAGCACTTGCTGATTCTACCTATCTTCAATGAGTTTAATCTTCAATATTTCTGGAACCAAGATCAAATATATTTTCAGCTTTATGCATTTGATAGTGTAGTAAGGTATGTATGTAGAAGAATTACGTGTCTGAAACACTTGAACTCTGAAGAAAACAAAGCACCTTGAGCAGGAACCTAACTCAGAGTCCAAAAATTATTTAAACTACCTAAACCAAGTCAGTGAGACTTGTGGTGTTCTTTTTAAATAGTGTTATGTGGCATTAAAAGCAAAACAACTTTTTAAGCACTACTTCATGTTCCACCGCAGTCTGTGCCTTCTACCGTGAAAGCTCTATGCAGTGTACCGGAAGCTTGAATCTCAGTCCTACAGTAACTTACTCTGTGTTTAGTTTTTACCTAGTGAATTCACTGTTATAGCTGCTTCCAAAAGGGAAACACAGAAAAATGGATAAAGATGATTTATGGTTGGATAATGCCTCCCCTCCAAAAATACTAAGAACGAAGTTTTTGAAAAAGGCTGGTTTAGCCCTTTCAACTTAAAAGTACATGGAAAATCACAGGCCTTGAGTATCAGTTTGCTGTGTGAAAGGGTCATCTACTTTGGGACTCTTGGCATAAAAAAATAATCAGTCTTAAGTTTCACAGCTTATAGTAATAACTACTGGGAAATTAAGGGATTCGAGGAGTTTGGAGTTTGTCTTTTCCTATTGTTTGAGTGCAAGGATTGCAGACTAAAACAAGTCCACAGTTCAGCCTATATGAGTGTAATAAAGGTGGATGAGGTAACACATTAGTAAGAATTCAACTTGCTACAACAAGCCTACCTTCAGTACATAGTGGAGATGGGAGGGTGGGGAAGAACACCAGCACTCTACTTGGCTTTTGAGAATATCTGAAATTTTTTTGCTGTTGAACCCAAAGTTGCATATTTTTTACCAAGTAATGCTCAAGATTATGACCATATTAACAGCTCTCTGTTAAGATGTTTCACAAAATCACAGAATGGCTGAGGTTGGGAGGGACTTCTAGAGGTCATCTTGTCACCTACAGCAGTTTTGCCTGGGACCATGTCCAGACAGCACCTGAACATCTCCAAGGATGGAGACACCACAACCTTTCTGGGCAATCTCTTCTAGTCAGTCCTTGGTCACCCTCACAGTAAAGAAGTGTTTCCTCATGTTCAGAGGGAACCTCCTGTGTTTCAGTTTGTGCCCATTGCTTCTTGTCCTGTCATTAGGCACCACTGAAAAGAGCCTGGCTGCATCTTCTTTGTGCCCTCCATTCAGGTATTTGTACACAAACAGTGGAGATGTCCCTGAGCCTTCTCGTCACCAGGCTAAACATTCACGGCTCTCTCAGCTTGTCCTCATATGAGAAATGCTCTAGACTCTGCAACATCTCTGTTTGTTGTAATCAAGCAAGAATAGCCTGTTGCAGGTACAGTGCAATCTCTATCCCCTCCTTAAGTCTCCTGACTTCTTTCAGAACTATTTTCATTGTGTTTTTTTGAGATACAGCTGGAACTCACTGCACTAAAAATATATTAGATTACTTTGAAATAATTTCTCCGCCATATTAATTGTTGTGGCAGTTGCTCTAAATATGATTAAGAGTAAGAATTAGTACTATAACCTTGTTTATCTCTGAGTAAGAGGATATTTGTTATCACTGTAAATAGATTCATGTGGTATTGTGGATTGGGCAGTCACTGACTTCAATGAATACATTAGTGTAATCACTGTTTGCTAACTGCCATAAAAATTGCTGACAAGGATCTTGAAATTGTGGTAGATTGTCTTCTTGAGGACGCAAAACAGAGGGAAGTACATCACAGCAGTATTCTGTGGAGTTACAGAAGACTGCCAGTATCTGACAGTATTTGTATTCATCTTGTCTCATGCAGATTATTCAAAGAAACAAGAATTAAAATATGAGAAGTGAAGACTTGTATGACTCTGCTCCTACAGGGACAATGAGAAGAGTTTAAAGTCAAAGCTTTGTTCTGCATATCGGTACTGAGGATAACATGACAAAAAACACCAAGCTTCTTGAAAATAAATTTAATTTTATCCATTAGAAATATTATCCCCAATAAGTCCACCTTTCCACAAAGGCTTAGATTTTAAACAACAAAGTTCACATTTTTTAAAATTAATAATAAACAGCTAAATAATTAATTTCAGTATTAGATTCAGATTCTGGTCAACTGAATAAGAAAGCAAGCCAGTATCAGGTAATCATGAAGGAATAAAAATTATTTTTTATATTGTCAGTTAACTTTTGGACCACTGATATAAGCATAGAATTTAACTTCAGAGTCAAACTAAATGGACCAAATATATGAAATCAGCACATGATCTTCAACAGTTCCACAGGTTCCAGCAGTATTTTAATGACTTTTGCACTGCATTCTAAGGTAAGTTAAGCCAACCACCGTACAAAACAAATAATAAATGGTGTTTACTTGGGCAGGCATGTCCAGCTTCCTGATACACAGAATAATTTGACATTGTAAACAAGCCTTCTAATACAATCCACGAAAAAAATGTTCACTTTATGGTTCACGCTTTCAAATTTATGATTACCATAGTTTTATTGTGCTCACCAGAAGCAGGCTTGTACCTGGACGTTTTTGCTTAGTGTTTTTGATTAGGATGCCATTTTACGGATCATGTAGTTCAGAATGCCGCCATTGTGGAAGTAAGTAAGCTCCACATCAGTGTCAAATCTCATGATGGCCTGAAAGGTTTTCCCAGTATCCAGCTGTTGGGGTCAAAAAAAGTCATTCAAGCAGCAGAACCTTCCAGACGTTACATGACATCATAGTAAAATAAGGACTATTATGGTAGTTTTGCCATCTTAAGAACTTGTGATAGAAAGCTAAAGTGAACAGGCACTGGACATCAATATTTCTTTCCATATTAGACTACAGCCAGCTGCTTAAGAGGAAAGTGGTTTAAAACAAACCATAATAAACACGGTATGGAGTCTCCTTGCATTGCATTTGATGCCTCATTTAGATTTATTGTCAATATAAGCCTAGCGGCATGAAAGCTGACCATCCTTTTAAGTGGTTATACTAATTCTTGATGTTCTTCTATGTAGTCATTCTTCTGGCTTAGGTACAACAGCAATACTAATTTTATTAGCTTTCTTTGAGGCCTAGTGTTTGGGAATCAGAAAAGCACAAAGACAAGTGCATGAAGTGAATAAAACCATTGTGTTTTACTGAAGACTCCTCTAGTCAGGTACTACCAGATGAATGCACATCTGTGACTGATAAGCTGACCAACAATTTGGGATCTATACTTTCTCCATTTCAGGGCAGTTAACGAGGTACATATAAACAACTGTTGTTAGAAACTAATCCAGGGAGACCACCTGCATTAAATGAACATGCAATAAGTACATTGTTTTGCTAACAGCAGTACAAAAGCAGACTTTGATGCTATTAGGTTAAGTCAGTTTTACAGATGTTCCAATCAAGAATAAACCAAATTGTCATCGTAGATGCTAATATTTTTCAAAAAAGGGCAGAGATTTGGAGGCAAAGCTAGACAAAAAAAAGTCTTTCAAATACAGGGTGTGAAGTTTAACTAGATTTTATGCTGGGTATGCTTAGACTTCACTTCGAATGCTGCAGTGTACAATATTCTGCAGTTGAATTGTCAATGAATTATTTTACTTTTAAATTCATTTAAATAAATTAGTTTAATTTATTTAATTTTCTACTTACAGTTCACTTTCTATTGTGCTTCAAACATTTAACTGAGACAGAAAAATTTATAGTGGACTTTGAAAGACTGGTCCAAAATATAGGACTTTTATATCCCATCATAGCAAATCCCTATTACAATGACTGTTTTCATCCCCTTCACCATCTCACTTCTTCTCCCTTCCTCAAGTGAGAGAAGCTTACTGCCATATGAAAGCACATTGTTTGAAGAGACAGTTAATTTTGAGTGAAATTACAGTGATTCAGAAAATT